AAGATCTTGAATAATTTCGGCTGTGATAACAGTGTCGTCCGAATATCTAATGTTGTTAATGGAAACTCCATTTACCTTTATTCCAGCTGTTTTACCAGCAAGAATTGACGACAATACGCATCTTTGTCTCACTCCACGTCTGATTTCAATTTCTTCTGACAACTGTTTTTTGATATTCAAAATCTATTAACATCTTTTGGTCTAAAAATAACTATAAACGATTATACTAGAATCACATCCCAATCTAGAAGTTGCATTGACAACATTATGACAAATCTTTCTGAAAATATATATAGAGTGGGCGTATTTGAACCTTGTTTTTCCGACCATCGAGCTCAATTTTTATTTATTGACTCAGAGCATAAAGGTATTGACACTAATCAAATATTTCAACGGTTTATTACTTCTTCTGGTTTACAGAAGCTTAAACGTGCGCTAGCTATTACAAACATGGACTTTTTCTACGATATTAATAATGATCCTGATTCTTTGACAGTCTTTCTTACCGAAACTTATAACAATTTAATATTACAGTATTTTCCACTAAAAAAAGTACGACAAATGACTGAAAAAACACCTGTGCAATGGTTTAATAATGAATTAAGGTCTAACAGATCTAATATTTCTCTTATCAAACACATTGCAGAGGCCACTAAGGATCCCGATTTGTTCAAAGTATATAAACAACAAAAAGTTGAATATAATCGGCAATTAAAAATTGCTAAAAAGTCAGCTTACTGTAATTTTATTACTAATTCCAATAATAAACCTAGAGACTGCTGGAAAATAGTAAATTTCGAAAGAAACTACACTAAATCCAGTTCGGTACAACCTGATCTACCTCCAGACGAAATGAATCAATTTTTTAGTACAATTGCAGAGAATATAATTACATCTCTTCCCACTATTAACATCGATGTCCTCGTCAATTATAGAAATTATCCTTCTCCGAGCAAGTCATTTTTTTTCGGCCCGTTCTGGAAGAAGAGGTCTCTCAAATAATAAAGTCGCTTAGTAATTCTAATTGTAGGGACGTTCACGAGATTAATAGCAAAATTTTAAAAGAAACTTACCAAATAGTTTTAACACCTTTTACTCATCTTATTAATTTAATTCTATCCACCGGAGTATTTCCAGAAGTACTAAAATACTCAAAAGTACTACCAATCTACAAAAAAGGTGATTCCTCAAAAACTGACAATTACAGACCCATAAGCATTGTTTCTACTTTGGGGAAAGTGATTGAAAAGGTTATCAAACAACAACTTTATTCCTATTTTGAGTCAAATAATTACTTTAGCAACTCACAATATGGATTTAGAAGTGCTCGTTCTACTACGAACGCGGTATTTAATGTAGTGAACGAGGTGATTGAGGGGCTTGAACGCGGCAATCGCATAGCAATTTCTCTTTGTGACTTATCAAAGGCTTTTGATCTAGTTAACAAATTTACACAATGATCTAGTTAACAAAGAGACTGTTAAACTATTGGGAATAACCATAGATAATCGACTCAACTGGTCCGCTCATATCTCACACCTTAAGAAACAGCTATCCAGTTCATTATTTGTTATTCGCCAACTAGCAAGGGTTGATAACTTTGAAACATTAAAAATGACATATTTTTCTTTATTCCACTCTCACCTAAACTATGGTTTAATTATATATGGCAATTCAACGAATGCACTTCAAATTTTTAGAATACAAAAGAAAGCTGTTAGGATTTTAGCAGGGGTTAGTTATCTAGAACACTGCCGACCTTTCTTTATCAAATTCAAAATTATGCCGCTACCTACTCTGTTGATATTTCAAGTTTTAACTCAAATTCACAGAAAACGTGCCCATTTAATAAAGCAGTCTGATGTCCATGTTCACAATACGCGAAACTGTCACTACCTACGAAAAAATCACTGTAGATTAAGTCTTTCAGAAAAAAATAGTCTTAATTATAACTATTACAATATTTTACCAAAAAGTATAAAAGAGCTAAGCTGTAATAGTTTCGATAAAGTTATAAAAAAATATCTTTTAAAACATTGTTTTTACTGCTCACAAGAATATATGACTCATTGCAGAACATCCACTGAACTGCTTACCGTAACTTTGCCATAAATATTTTTCTGTTTAATATGTTTTCATGTTTGTATTATTTATCTGTTTAATATGTTTTCATGTTTGTATTATTTAATGTTTTATCATTTAATACTATGTATGTTTTTTTGACTTGCTACAAACAATATTTGTATATGTTATGTAGTTAAATAAATACTCTACTCTACTCTACTCTACTGTTCGTTAATACATACTTTTGCTAGCTGTGTATAGTATAAATTTAATATGATTCTGAGATCGTTGTAGTCAATTTTCTTTGATTTGAGGACATCATTCATTGTTCATGTCGTACTTTATCAAATGCTTTATTATAGTCAATAAAACATGCGTATATATCTTGATTGACATCCAGGCATCTTTGTATCTAGTACATTAAGTAATAAAAGAGCTTCACGTGTTCCTAGGCCTTTGCGAAAACCAAATGGTGTGCCATTAACGTATATATCCAGTTTGTGATATATTCGGTTATGGATGACTTTTAGATAATAGTGCAGTAATTGCTGCATTCTCTTGCGTTGTTCTTTTTGGGGAGACAAAAATTTAGTTCAAGAGTGTCACTAAAACATCAATGTGCTTCTCATCCAGAATTTTTAGGATTTCTATAGGAAGCATGTCAGGTCCAGAGCTTTTCCCACTCTTCATTGTTTTTAATGAGAGTAATATTTCTTCTTTTGTAATACATGGACCTATTTCTTCTGACGTAAGTTCTACGTGCTCCAGATCTCCTCTTTTATCATCAAACAATTCGTCGATATATTCTGCCCATCTTTGTACTTTCTCGTCTGTCTGTGTTATAGTTTTCTTAGTCATGTCAGTTCTTTAATTTTTTTGTGTAGGTTAAACAGTTCATATTTATTTTAAAGGTCTTCGATCTCTTTATATTACATGGTATTATGCAAAAAAACAAAGTTAATAACATTTAATAATTACTGCAAATTCACTTTTTATTATTAAAAAGAACAAAGCAAACGTTTGTCTGTCAAAAAGCTGTACCTCTTCACGGATTTGTCATAAGCTAGCCTTCATTTTTCTTTTACAACTTTCAAATAGCTGTATAAAATTTTTACGTGAAAGCGATGATTTTTTCACAGAAAGACTCAATTAATAAGTGATAATGTATAGCTTACAGTTTGTGTTTTAATTGTACCTAACGTATAAAGATTTTGCACGTATGTCATTCGCTTTACCGGAAGATGAGTTTATTAAATAACTTCCTTAAATATACTAACAAGACTATAAGTCTTACATTATAGTAATTTGTTTTCTTAAAACATTTCCGTTTTATAGACAAGTACCATTTTACTAACAGAACATTTAAGTTGTTTTTATTACAGTTGCAGAAAACACGCTCGGTTTACAAATAATGTCTTTCTTCAGTTATTTTACTTTTTATGATATTTTATGTTCAGTTTAAGGTAAGCGAAAAATATTACAAGAAACTAAATACATTCTAATAGCTCCATTTAAAGTTCAAGGAACTTTGAGGTCAAGATATCCAAATATACTTAAAAAGGGACAAAAAACGTTTGACCCGTAGAGAAAAATAATTTAACAAAAAAGTTTATTTTAAAATATTATCAAATTACTAAAGATTCTCAACTTTGAAACGTATAAGAAAACCAACAAGAACCGATAAGGTTCTTTAGAAGTGTATTTAAATCACCGCATTGTTCAACTAGTACGGTTGATGTAAAATAGTAATTTATGTAATAAGCACTAATTTTCACGATTAAAACAGTTGAGAGCACAAGCCGTTAGGCAACTCCCATAATTCTACGAGTAATAAAAAATTGTAGTAGAACCTAAAAAGTTATAGAAATTTTTCTGAAACTGTTTTCTTGTGGCATGTCGTAACATAATGTTAATAAAGATCATCAGTCGGATATTATTTATAAAGTAAAGAGGACTGCATTTCAACGTATTTTGGGCAAACGACTAATATTTTTATAGAAGGATTGTTGCACACAAAAATAGTTTAAAAAACCAAGAAATTAAACACTACTACCTTAGCAAGCATTCTCTATAAAATAGTCATTCTTTTAATTTTGAAAATGTACAGATTTTGAAAAAAAAAAACAAAGATGCCTATTAGAGGTGATTCACATAAATAAAGATCAAAATCTATTACTAATAAGACTGACATCATTATGAAGATCTTATCAATATGTATGATAATTTAATAAATTGAGTCGTTTTTTTAATGCACCATTAGCAAATATTTAAGATACGACCCAAAGCTATTCGTATTTTGAAGTACCTGCCATATATATTTTAGGGTCAGATACCAGTTTTGCATTCCATGTAAAACTACCAAATAGTGTTGATATATAATATAATTGTGTACCTAATGTAATGTTTATAAAGTGCCTATTGAAAATGACAAATGGTCGAAACGTTTAAGAGCTAATTAAGTGTTTTATTTATAACAGACCGACAAACCCTTCTTCTTCTTTGGGTGCCATCTTCAATGAAGGTTGGCGATAACCTTAGCAAAATCATTTCTGTCCCTGGCTTTTCTTATTAAAGATTGAGAATCCAAACCAGTCCACTAACGAATGTTCTTCAACCAGGACGCCTGCCGTCTACCAGGACCACGTTTTCCTTCTACCTTCCCCTCTATAAGAAGCTGCAGTAGCTGGTATTTCTCATTTCTGTATATGTGTCCCAAATATGAGGTTTTCCGTCAAACCCAGGAATTAAAAAAAATTCAATTTAAAAATTCACGGTCAGGAAAACAGATATTTGTGGCAAAAAGTTTACCTAATGCCATCCCCTCCTTCGGAACACATACAGAGGAAATATCAAACTTTTTTTTATATTTGTTATTTAGCAAGTATAGTTTGTTAGAGAAGCATAGTGTAAAGGTCTTACAGTTTACTTTGTTTCAGAAAAGCAAACATTAAATATTTACGTCAATGGTGAACAGGTAGAGGCCGAGAGTAACTTCGTGACCAATGGAACAGAAATGAGTTTTATAATGGGTAACACATCTGCGACAATAAGGGCTGAGACGACTCAGAAGAAAGAAGGCGTTGTACATCAGCTTTTTGTCGATGGAAAATGCATTGAAGAAGACATTATATTTTAGAGCCAAGAAATATTTTAGAACCAATAAATTTTATAATATATTATGTACACATACGCTTTTTAATTAGTATAAAACGAATTATTTTAGTATTGTATTGTGGTATATGCCGGTTTTTATTACACTCTACATTATTTTCAAAAAATAAAATGCTGTTATATGTTAAGTTTATTTTCTTTTTATAAATACACGGATTCTATCAAAAAAATTGCCAAAAAAAACACTTTTGTTGCCATGATAGTTACTATTATTTTCTATACAAAAGCAGAAAGTTGAAAGTTAGTACATTTAAAGTTATTAGGTACTGTATAGGAGTATATCCCGTAACTGATCATTACTTATCCTAATTGATCAAAGATAACATAACAGTATTAGCAGATTGTTTCTTCTTTTAATTGTTTTTATATAAACCGAATCTGCCTGCTTAATGTCCAATTGCCAGGGCGTCAGCTCGTTCGCTCCCTTCCACGCTTGTGTTTCTCGGTACCCATACCAAGTTAACCCTTATAGTCTGCGCAACATCAGCAAGTGCTCTCTTGCACTTAAGAACCCACTAAGAGCTGATTTTGGGCGTTTCCAAAGCCCTTAGCGCTGCTTGACTATCAGAGCAGATAGAGATGGTTCTGCCTGAGCAAGCTCTATCTATTATCTCTTAAGCACATACTAGGATTGCAAAGATCTCGGCCTGGCAGACTCATACATGAAGAGCTCGGCCAGATTCAAATCCGATTCTTCTCCCATATACTCTGGCACCTGCCCGCTCGACTATTCTAGACCCATCCGTGAGTCCACTTCGACAGATCAGTGCAGACTTTTGTTCCATTAACTCATCCCGGTCAGGAGATTGAACCATGAAGGAGGATGAGAACTCAAATTGGGAGGCCATGCTGTCCTGTACTATAGAAAGCACAGGACAATAATCGAAGGCCTGTCTCCAGATTCCCAACCACTATCCAGAGCAGTTAAGACGATAGGCTGCCATCATGGCTTCGTGCTCTATTATAAGATGTAAATTAGATAAATCGAGCAAAGCCTCAAGAGCCGCTGTGACAGTGTTCTTCATGACTCCTGAGATGTCAACGCATGTAAACCACTAGAGGTGGTCGCAATGGTGGCATACGTCAGGATAGGTCTTATCATGAACTGATGCATCCAATATAAAAAATTTTCGGCTGCAGACCTTGACTCCAAAAGCTCTTCTGTACGCCCAGAAAGCTGCTCTCAAATGACTAAAGAAGAAGTATGATAAATATTAGATTCCGTAGAAAATTACTATTCATATGCAACTGATAATAATTTCGACAGAGATAGCGTTGAACAAAAATAAACTCCATTTATGCTAATAAATGCCTGATAAACTCCATAAATCGGGAATAAAATTATGTGTCCTATGCGAATGGTACAGATACCTATACGGATATTCTTACAGATTCGAAAGTTACAACGTTGCTAGTGATAATTCATCCTACCAGACAATTCTGATCTTGGTTCAGCGTAAAATATAGCTTTATTTTGTTGATCTCAGATTATCCCTTACTTCAAAAACAACATTATCTACTTCGATAATTTTTACAAATCGTTGTTACTGCTAGTGTATCTTCGCGCAAGAAGTTTTTATTAAGTGCGAACTACTACTCATCTAGTCGAATTAAAAACTGTAAATTAAGATGATCAACTAGCCATAAAAGAAAGGGGATATACTGTGGAATATATGGGGATGGCATATGATATTGAACTAAGTACGGTGCGTTGGAAAGATACAAAAAACGTCTATCATTCGTCTATCAATAACAAACAAACAAAGCTCGTTATGACAGAACTACATTGACGTGGACTGTAAACAGATCTTCAAAGAATACAACAGACATATGGGAGATACGCCTAAGAGTGCTTCACTACTCTTCTTTATGGCTTGGAGGCATGGATATTAAAACAAGTGTATCTGAATAAGTTACACAAATTAATAGTGAACATATGGAATAATAAACAACTGCCACAAGACTGGATTACCGGAATAATTATCTCACTACATAAAAAGGGAGATCAGCTTAAATGTAAAAACAACCGGGCAATACAGCTACAAACTGTGGCATATAAAATACTGACAAATAGTATGACCGATTGAAACCATATGTGGAACAAATAGTTGGGGAATATCAATGTGGTTTCCGCAGACAGAAGTCCACAATAGAACAGATCTTCGTTTTGAGGCAAATCTTGGAAAAGACTAGCGAATTTAATATAGACACACATAATCTTTTCATTGAATTTGTGAGTGCCTATGATAGCATCCATCGAGAATTTCTGATCCATACACTGAAAGAGTTTAATATTCCAACTCAACTCATTGATATAGTAAAAAAAACACTTAAAGTACAAAGCAAAATTCGAAATTAAAGAGTCAAAAGTCAACACCAGAGGAACAACAATTTGAACAATCAATAAAATCGGTTGTGTTAACAAGTCTTAATTCTGAGAGAACCCGCTTACAAATAATAGTTGTTTGTAAGATACCACTTAAGTTACCATTTAAGTACATACTATATTAAAGTTTTTTACTTAGCCCGCCACTGGTTTTTATGGAAACCGACCTCGCCCGATTCTAGCCGATCCTCAAGTTCAGTGACAACACTGACAGCAACGAAGCAACCTGGCCGCCCACTGCCCACTTGATCAAACAACTTTAACTTTTCCTTTCTATATCGCGCGCCGTAGTCCAACGACCAGTCGACGTCGAGTTGTTAAAGTGGCTGTGGAGTGGAATTCAGTCGTTTAAGCTGTCAAAAAAAGCCAAAAAGGCGATGTTACCGTTCGTTATCGCTGGTCTACAGTAAAAGACGAAGAAAACCGCGTACGTACACGGTGGATTTAACTAATTTACGTGCTGTCGGTTCACGTCGCAGTGGTACTTTAAATTATTCATGTGATTTAATTGATTAGAACATCAGACCTGCAGCTTCTTATCATAGTAAGTCTATTCAATTATTCTAGCAACAAATTTTATAAACATCTGTGATATAATATCTTTTGCCATGTGCAGTTTCGCTCATTTTATATTTATGACCTTGTAGAATATATAAACACTTTATAATTACAGTTTCTGAGAACTTGTGTATCTAAATTCAGCGACTAAATGACGTAATCTTATTGTTAAAAGGATAAAATATTTGGATTCTTAAAAATACCATACAGGTTACTTGTCTTACCAAACGTTGAAATCTTTTGATTGTCTAGTAACTGCAGCAGAAACTACCATTGAGTACCAAATGCACAAAATAATATAAAACAATTTATTTACAAATAAAAACTAAAATATTTACAAAGTTTAAACAATGCTTTATAAAACTAAGACTATGTTATATAAAAAATATTCGTAAAATGATACATTACGACTTAAATCTGCGACAGAAATTTACTTTTCAAACCAAACTAACTCATGGTCGTACGAACTACTACACACCCATTATTTTTATATCATAAAATTAGAGCAATAATAATATTTTTGCACAAATGTGAAAACAGTGACATTGAACGACAAATCTTTTTTATCAGTGTTCTGATAGGTACGAGAAGTCCAAGTGTTTTATGGTTTGTAACTAATTCAGAGCCTCAAAAGAAAGGAAAAACAAGAAACTAGAATAAAGAACGAGCAATTGTCTATGGACTGGGATATATACGGATTTACGTATCTGCACTAAAGTAAACAAAGCCATTATCTTCTCATTCTGGCTTTAAAACCCTGCGTTGGTCCTAATCTGCTCCAGAATTTCTCTCCAGTCTTCCAAGCCAGTCGCCTTTCTCTGCCAAGCACGTATTCCCATATTTCTCATGTCTTTAAGGAACCTTATTTTGGGTCTTCCTCTTCCTCGCGTTTTTCTAGCTAGGTCATTTTGTTCCATCGGCGTTATTATCTGTCCTGCCTCGGCTGCACTCGGCAATGGAGTGCCGACATCATCATTCCATTGTCATTCACTGCTCAACACGTTTTTATTATGAGTCCAAGTCTTCGAACCATATGTTCGGACTGGACGTATTATTGTTTTGTAGAGTTTTATTTTTGTATTTCTCGATATAATTGTGGATTTAAGGAGAAGAATGAGCCCAAAATAGCATCTGTTGGCCGTGTAAATTCTGCGGCAGTGTTAGGGTATACAAATTCGTTCACTGCTTAGATGACGTCTTTTCTGTAACAAGTGGTCGTGGGATTTGTGGTTGCGTGCTTATTTTCATATACTTCGTTTTTTGGTGTTTTTTGGTAAATCCATTTTTGTAGCTATTCCCTTAAATTCTACATATGACTCTCGTACAGCGTGTTCCGGTCTCCCAACAATATTGATATTATCAGTATAAGCCAAGATTTGAACTGATTTATTACATATTGAACCAGTGGTTGTGATTTGGTCAAAGATCGAGGGGAAGATGAACATATCAAATGAAGACTTTGGTCATGAATGTCCATCTAGTACAGGATTGCAGTCAATTGAGACAGCAAGCTAACAATAGTTAGAGTATCACTACTCCCTGACAAGGGCTTGAGGTATGGGAAGAAGGAAGTGTCATGTCTGCTAAAACAAGATTATGGCCACTTGCCATGTCTGCCTCTGGATAAGCTTTAGTCGATACTGAATCCTTGGTTTATAAAAATTTAATCAATCTGGTTCCTTACTATGTTCCCACCGTTATCCCTAGGGGTTGTTCAGACGTATATTCTTTGGAATGGTAGTTTGTACCATGTTCTTGTTAATGAATTTGTTGTCCTTGCAAATTTCATTACGTGTTCCTAGTCCGCTTTCTTTCCCTACCTTCACAATGAAGGCTCCTAAAAACATTAATTTCTTCTCTTTGGTTTTTTAAGTATTTTGTATAATTTATTGTAAACGCCGTCTATTTATTTCTCTGTGCTATCAGATGTCGGTATTTATCCTGTATCCTTGCACAGCATATCGTTTAATTTCAGTACTGCAATTCTGTCCGTTTTCGGTATAAACTTTTAGACGGATCTATCAGTTTCTTTATTGATAACAATAGCTACTCCATTGTTATTTTGTGGGGTGTTATATATGTTGTGGATGATTAAATTAGCCTTTCGATTAAACAGCTAGCCTTTGATTAAATAACGCCATTCAATCGCATGTCTGAATGTCGATTAGCTGAGTGTAGTGTTGCCCAAAATCCGTCTTGGTCGTGCAGTCTTGGTCTTGTTCTTGCGTTTTCGCAAGACTAAGACTTCCTAACATTAGCAAGACCAAGACCAAGACTGACCATACAATATTTAAGCAAGAACAAGACTAAGCCTGTGAGACTCTTGTGACTTGCAGTTAGGTCTGAGTGTCGTTTTAGCGAGTATAGCAGTTTATGTATATGCTTAAAGACTCTATGAGGCGCAAAAAAATATTTAATAAAAATTTTAACAACTGGACTTATGCGCATTACGAACAATACCATAAACATATATACCGAATCAAAATTTTTATTACAAGAACACTTGACACGTTTGACACGTGCTCAGAGGTCATAATTACAATGCAAAAATAAAATATTTTGTACATTCTTTCCCAGCAGACGACTTCTTCGCTCAGAAATTAATTGTCCAGATTTTGAGAATAGCGGCCCTCTAATCATAAACTAATCTTCTTGCTTTGCGACGCCAACAGTAATATCGTATCGAAACTTTTTAAAAATATGTCACCTTAGCTAATAAAAAATATAATAATTACTGTTAAGGACACCCAATTATTCAAATTTTTTTCCATTAAAATTGAGATAGGAGGAATCGAAATAAACCAATCTTATCGGCCTAACTAAACATCGTTTCTGCTGAGTGTGCGATGAGGATGAGATCATTCGGTTAAGCAAAATTTGCTGAAAGAGCGCCGGCTAATATTAAATATGACGAGACAAATTAATAACAGATAATGTCGGATACCGTGTAAACAAAATAACGAAATATTTATAATAATGATGTAACGATATATAACTCTTAGGGTATTAGATAGTAACGAACATATTATAGTAACTAGTAGTAATTACTTGTTCGACATCACTAAACTTTATTATTGAGTTTTCCTTCGAGGCTAATGTAATAATTGTTTTTCATCTAATTCTTGTCGTTCTCGGAGTATGAGGGACGAAAATTTAAATAGTTATAGTCGGAGTAGTGAGAGTTGGAGTTCTAGATCTAAAAGACCTAAAACCAAATTTAATGAGTTTTGGAAATAATTCATGCATCCCAAATTGCTTTGTGTAAATTGTGCCTACATAGAAAGGTTGAAATAAAAATGAAAAACAGAAACATGTCAGATTTAAAAAAGCATCTAATATCTTTTCACAAAATGGAATTAAAAATATTTCTTCCAGAAAAACCAAAATTCGGTAGAGATATCACAAGCTTTTTAATAATTGCTGGAAAAAGTAGACATGTAAAAACATATATTTATTACCTTATTACCAATTACATATATTATGTACCTACTACTTTATTTTTGTAAATTAATGTATTTATTAAGTAGGTATCTCCCTAATTTAAAATAAGTTGATTATCATTGCTTTTTTACTGATACTTTATTTTTTCAAGTTAGTTTTTTATATAAAAGTAGAGCTAAGATTGTTAACAACATTTATTTTGCTTTAATAGGTGGATTATAGTTTTTTATCTTATCACCTAAAGAATATGTGACCTTGATACATGTATGTGGATTTTTTGCCACATACTAATCTAATTTTAAGATTTCCATTTCATATGTGGAGGGTCCATCAATCCCTTTCTAGACAGGTAATGTTCTTGAAAATATAGTCAAGTTTATGTCATTAATTTGGTTTTTTTTATATTTCAACTATGTATTAGCTCATGTAAACTTATTAAATGCAAACGTTTATTAAGAAACATATTGACTTTCGTGGGGCTTGGTAGATAGCTTAGAGTTAGTGTTAAAGTATTAATTAGGTTGGTCTTTGTTATTGCTATCTTAGTTCAAGCTTAAAATGTACTTACTCTGTTACGTTGTTCTAAGATCTAAAGTAACGTTTAATAAATAGCAATAGGCTAATGGGTAACTGCAAGACTTACAAGACTCTTGCTGCAAAACCAAGACCGAGAGTGCAATACCAAGACCAGATTGGCGCAAGACCAAGAGTGTCTAAGTCTCGTCTTGTTCTTGCATTTGGGCAACACTAGCTGAGTGGCTAACGACCACCAATATATCGTTTAACCGGTCAGCTTGACGACGATAAGTCGTGTTATTAAACAGCTAATTGAAATAGTCATCTAGTTGAACGGTTAGTCCTTTCATTTGATTGAACAACTCGTTATGATGTCTTACTTTTAAAATGATATTTACTTCACAGATGAGGTTATTAAAAATTTCCATGTTACATTTAAATCATTTATTGATTCAACTTAACTGCTATGACATTTAGATTCACAAAGAACTTTTTTCTTGAAGCAAGCATATCTCATAGTACGGCGTTGTTTTTGTGCTGGTTTACAAAAACATTTTTGAAAACCTTGCCCCACAAACTTAGTAGAGGTAGACAGAAGTAGTGGTGTCAGTTTATTTATTATTACTTTTTTTCAACCAGTTAACTGGTGCTACTAGCGACGCGATGGTCAATATTATGGTGTCTTTTTAATCATCCATGTCGTTGAACTTTTTAATTGCATAAAAATTCGACAAAATAACTAGTTGTGTGATTGAATGGCGTTATTAAATCAAAGGGCTAGCCATTTAATCGACCCCCTAAAGGAACCATCTGGCTGCAATATACATACTAAAATATATAGCTGTCTATTATACTTTTGACACCGGACATCTGTCATCAAACTTCAACTACGTCCAAGGATGTCTTTCTTCAATCGTTGATTTTTTAATTAAGTTTAGATTTAATTAAGTAAGATTAAGTTTAAAGGGCAAGACTGTACAGCTATTATTGTATTAGGAAAATAGGAAAGAAAGAGGAAGACCACATTTC